GATCATCTGTGATATTTCCGACTCTTGATCTATAACCCATAGATCATCTGTGATATTTCCGACTCTTGATCTATAATCCATAGATCATCTGTGATATTTCCGATTCTTGATCTATAGACACAGATAGATCTGTACATTGTCTGCTGTACATGATCTATAATCCATAGATCATCCGTGATATTTCCGAATGTTGATCTATAGACACAGATTGATCCGAACATATCTGCCGCTCTTGATCTATAAGCCATAGATCATCTGTGATACCTGCGTGCTCTTGATCTATACTCCACAGATCATCTATGATACGTCCAAACCTTGATCTATAAACCACAGATCATCTAGATCGTGATCTATCCGACGTGTGAAAGATTGATAGCGCGGAAAACGGTGGAGTTGAAGCTGTCTCGTCTAGAGCTTTCCGAAAATGCATCGTTTCGTTTATGCATGATCTTCGTTGCCGCATAATCGAGCTTTGAAAATCGGTCCAGGGGGTGTGTTATCTTGAGTCATATACGGTATGTGGACTGGCACGGCAAACACAAGGGCGATGACCAGGTTTCCGGTTCATCCTTCATCCTTGCTGCACGCTCGTGCGGCGGAATAAACGGGCCACATACGAAGCGCAACAAGCCGCAGCCAACGAGATGCCACGCTCCACCCAAGACTACCGTACCCCACGGCATTTTCAGCCCATGGCATACCTGGTTGGCACAGCAAATGCAAGGACCATGACCAGCTCCTGGTTCATCCTTCAACCTTGTAGGACGTACAAGCATAGCCTGGGCCAGCGAAAAACCGGGCAGCATGTCGCTCCATCCCGGCGTTGTAGGGATGCGAGGCCTGTGGTCTACCAACTATTTACGGCTTAGGGTTAGCGCGTGCATTAGTACACCTCCCCCCCCCCGCGCTGCCGCTGGGGCCGGTATCGGGCCCTCTTTTTTTGGTCTTGTCGAGCAGTCGAGCCTTGAAAACATCTGCCTATGGTGTGTGCACGTGTGTACGGTGAACCCGCACTGTGATTGCACGATCTGGTGTGTCCTTTACAGAGTTTCTCCGCGTAGTCTTGGTGGATTTTCTTCTTGCCGCTCCATCCCAGCCTTGTGTTCACATCGATTTTTATGTGATTTTCTGTCTGTCTGTCTCTCTGTCTGTCTCTGTCTGTCTGCCTCTCTGCCTCTCTGCCTCGCCTGTCCCTCTCTGCTTCACTCTCGTCTCGTCCACCGCCGGTGCGGTCTGGCGTGTTCGATGGTTGCTGCAGGGAAAGCAAGCGGCTAGCGCAGCTGGGAGAGAAGCGGGCTAGCCACCGCGGAAAGGTATCTACTTGACATGCGATCGCTTTACGGCTACCGTCTTTCGTCCCTCCCTTTCCCTGATACGGTACGTCTTTCGACCCTCGATGTCACCAGCATGAATGAAGCTTGCATGCTTTCTCGCGGAGAGCACTGTCCAGGAGAACTCTCAAATGTCTGTCGGATGCACCACAGCACACGCGCTTCCTAAGCACGCGGCGGAGCGTTTGGTGGCGTGTTAGCTTGGACTTGAGCGGGCACATCAGATTGGAGGTCACCTTGGAACTCATGGCCTCTCTCTGTCGACCCCCCCCCCCCCCCCCCCCCCCCCCCCCCCCCCCCCCCCCCCCCCCCCCCC